TATCTCTCTCTCTCTTTCCCTCCGTCTCCCCCACTGCGTCTCTTTCTCTAATTGGTAATTTGTGTTTGTTCATATTATTGAAATTATCCAAAGCACTATAGATTAGATATTATTGTCTTTCTATTACACATTCTATCGTTCTTTCTATCTACCTTGTAATATCTTCGGATTTACATACACGTCTACATACCTTTCGTGACAAATCTCCGTCCTGATGTTGGCGATGCTAGCAGTGAAGTAGATCTAGTCCCTGTGGTCAGAGACTGTGGTGTCACATCGACGCTCAAGCCTGATCAATAATCAAGCAGTCCACGAATGAGCTCTGTGAAAAGAAAAAAAATAGAATTGTATTTAGGTCTAGATTTTGAGTTGTTTTCACTGAAAAACACGGTATCAAAGCAAAGTAATAACATATATTTTGGAAGTGCAAGTTTAACCTACACACTGCTTGACACGAAATATTTCTTCTCTGTATGTTTTCTTTCCTACCAGAAGATTAGGGGTATGGTTGAAAGACAGCAGTTAAAAGGAACTAAGGAGCAACAGTAGAAAGACTGCAGAAAGAGTCAGGAGCCTAGAGGAAAGGGACAAAGGAGGGTGGGGGCAGAAAGTGGAGACGAAAACAGACGACAGAACATTGCTTGAGAGCAGGAAAAGAGGTGAAAGGAGACAATTTTAGAGAAGAAAAAATTTCCGTCGCTACTGGGATTCGAACCCGGGACCTTTGAATGAGAGGCGCACACCTTAACCTCTTGGTCACGAGAGCCCCCCTTACATAGTTTACTTTATGAAGGTCCAGGCAAGAATGAAACCATGACTGTGGTAGATATAATTTAACACTACCATCGACACGATGTAAATCATTAAGGAGGCTTCAATGTGCTTCGATTCTGCCTATCAGGGTCGAGATGGGGTGAGAAGGACACAATGTTTAAACAGAGAGAAGGAGATACTCGATATATGCGATCTCCCTTCAGGATTCGAACTCACGTCTTCTGCGTGCGACAACTCAGCGCCAATTACACCGCATACACTGTTATGCAGGATAAAGGAGAATGCCAGAACGATACAGTAAAGTTATATTCACGCAATACTAATTTGGAAGTTGGACCACCTGATAGTTTTGATTGAAAAGGGGTCCAAAGATAGAGAAACAGACAAATGAACTATAAAAGCCAACGCTGTCTCCTATTAGCTGCAACCTCTTCTATCTCATCAAAACACAGCTTATCACTTCAATATTTATAATAACATTACGCTACTAATTTCGAACTTGCAAATTCAGTTAAAACCAGGAAAGCAAAATTACTGCCTGCAAGATGAAATGACTCCGCAAAACCCTATAAATCACAAGAAGAGACATTCAGAGAAATGAAAATTAAGAGCAACTGCGTGCATTTCAGAGAGAAAAATAACAAGGATTAATTTTATGATTTGGCCACCTGCTACGAATTTCACCTTGTCAGCCAGCCCCGAGAGCTTATTATATCAAGTAAAGAGATAGACCCCCGCAAAAGATGGATTGAGGGAGTCAATTAAATCCTGAGAATCTTCACCTGAATTGAAAAAGATGCAGAGTTGGCCTACCATAGAAAACTGCATTACACCACACCTCCCCGACGCTGAACGACTACAAAGGGTGAAAAAGTAAGTAAACGTAAAAGTACAACCTGTTAGCATTGTCTATCCGTTAACCCAGCTAGCTACCAGTCCAACCAACTCGCAGGAAGGGGCCAAGGAAAGGATGGGAAGGGTTGGGAAGGATGGCGCCGAAGAGAATGCAAACAATTAATCACTGTCTGCCTCTGTGCGGATGTAGCTTAATACATTTCGATCATATCCAGCCGTGGATCAGAATGCATGATCGACTCGGTCAAAAGCGAATTAGCGTCACGTGCGGTCGTAAACACCATTTATCCGCAACAGAAAATGAAGACAAATCACGCCAAATCAAACTGGAACTGCATACCCCTCCATGGCGTCTGTCATAAAGCTTACAGCCTCAGACAGGAGTTCAGGGGGAGATTACTGCACTGGAAAAGCATAAGAATTAATAAGCAGCATGTTGAGCGAGTTGTGCACGTCGATGACAAAGCGGTTTTCTTGTCATGGTCTGTGAGTGCGGTAAAGTGCTGGGCATGCACTCATTTTCGACAGAACCGGACTTTGATGATATCTGTTTAGTTATCAACCGGTTTAATCTCGACACCATCTACGTCATAATATATAGATGCTCTGTGTGTGTGCCCGTGTGTGTTTGTGTGTGTGTGCGTGTGTGTGCGTGTGTGTGCGTGTGTATGCATGTGTGTGTGTGAGTGTGTGTATGCGTTTGTTTGTTTGTAACCGTCATCATCATCACGGAATACCAAATCGGAACCTGACATCAACGAGTACAACCACCACCACCACTACCACCACTACAACAACAACAACAACAACAACAACAACAACAACAACAACAACAACAACAACAGCAACGACAATCATGAATCGAATAGACTTTCACAAAAGAGCTGAAACAATGATTTTGGCGAAAGAATTAACAATCCCAATAACCAGCACAGGAACCAGTAATCCCTTCTAGAGGAATCATTCAACTGATGTGATTTCTAAAACTCGGGAGTGTTACAGACGCAGGCGTAAAGTGCACTCTGCTGCTTGCAGATAATGGTGGCTACATCTCGATAAATCCTGTACTTCTTTGAAAAGTGACGTATAGAAGTGCCATATAAGAAGAATCATAAATCTTCATCTCGTGTCTGCTGGCAGGTATTAAGGGCTTAACGTATTCCTCTTTTCATCCATTTAGCTTTGTGTTCAAGTTCGTGCGCTATTGATATATTATATTGCAACTGTTATTATTTGAAATACGAAAAGAATCATAGTTTGGTTGATATTCTTTTTTGAAATTACTTTTACAGTTTAAGAGAGAGAATAAAAAAACAACCCCCACACAACACCTCCCCTCAAAAACAAACAAACAAAGACACGCACACACACACGCATGCACGCAAGCGTGCACACTTGCACGCACGCACAAGCACGCACACGCATACTCACAGGGAAAGAGAGAGAGGGGGGAGAGGGAGAGAGAGAGAAAGAAAGAAAGAGAGAGAGAAACAGACAAACAGACAGACAGACAGACAGACAGATAGACAGACAGATAGACAGACAGACAGACGGAGAGAGAAAAAGAGTAAGAGGGAAAGAATGAAAGAAAGAAAACAAGCAGAGAGAGAGAGAGAG